TGAATGGTCGAAACAAACATAACCTGTTAAAAGAATGCATGTCTAAAGGCCAAGTAATATGGGCACTGCCAGTTAAAAAGCATTGTTGTGCAAGTGTTGTGCATATACATTACATGTACTACAGCCATGTTGCACAAAGTCAAACTCTTGTCTACTTTGCACAACTTGTTGCTGCAAATTGCAACACTGGTGGTATTACGTGCAAAAGCAATGCAGCACTGTTGTGCAATAAGTTGCAAGAAAATGTTGTCCATATTACTTGGCCTTAAAGCCTGGTTTTCACTAGCGACGCAAGCGCAAGCAGTAGACGCAGTGACGTGTTGATCATCAGTGTCTTTTGTTTAGGACAAATCAACACGTTACTGCGTCTGCATATGTTGCTGCGCTTATGCTTGCGTCGCTAGTGAAAACCAAGCTTAAAGATGTAAAAACTAACAGGATTTGACTGTTATCAGTAGCAAGTTGATGTATCAACTTTTGGAAAGTACTGCTTTTGGTAATAAAATAATGAAAATAATAAGCCAGTGTGCATTCCTTTTAACTGAGCTTCAGAAGTAAAAAGCTTGTGGGGGGGGGGGGGGGGGGGGGGTACTCCCTATAATGGACTATACCGGGAGGCTCCGCCCAAAAGGGTACCTTTTCCAGGCTGGAGGTATATAAAAGGGTAGGAATTTAACGAGTTGGAAGTATAGGGAAAACTGCCATTTAGGTATTTAAAAAGGCCTTTCAAAATATCTCGAACGGACGCACCTAACGGCTGATTCATCCAAGTAGTTTAAGGGGTTACTCAAGTGTAAAGTTGGGATGCAGTGTTTCTACTGTAGGTATGTGAAAGGAGTACCATTTTGGTTACCTTTTCTGTCAAAAATGGTAGAAAAAGGGTAAGGGTTTAGACCTTGGGGCGGAGCTTTCCGGTATAAAACCCCGAAGGGAAAATAATACACCAATAAAACTCGCCATAACCTGTTACACTGTATGGTGACAGCCTTCACTTGCCCCAAAAAATGCCATCCAGTTTTAAGCTTAGCCCAACTCATTTTGAAACGCAATATTCGGTTCGAGCCTTCACCGAAAATAAGCCCTCCACGCGAGTCCCCCGAGAATAAGCACACGAAAAAAAGTCCTTATAATCCAGGTTATAATAAGCCCAGGGCTTTTAATATATTCGGAATTTTACGTTTGTATACCACCCAGTTCAATTTGTGTGGCCACAGGTTGCTAAGATTTTATAATTTCTTTAGTAACTGCTGTTGCAATATTAGTCTTTCTAAGGCGATAGTTAGAGCTGTGAAAATATCACAGTTAATCATTTACCTTTAGAATGCCTGATACTTATTGCTATCCTAAAAGCCTTTACTAACAAATTACAAAACCTTAGGCGCCTATGATGATCACACAAACAGAGCATGGGCAGCCACTGTCCTGTATATCTGGTAATGCTGGCTCGATCTGGCTTCATAGCTCAGTTTGGTAGAGCATCGCGCCTGCAACGCGGAGGTCATGGGTTCAAATCATGTTTTTAAAGGAAAACAGTGGAAGAGAAGAGCCAATGTGGATTTCGACTGAAATTCCCATTTTTAAAATTATTTTATTTAGAATTAATATTAAATTGCAAACACAACTGCAAGGATATTTCTTCTCTTTATACTCTATCCGCAGTTCATTTATCAAAATAAATTGCTTTTCGACAAACAACCCAGCACGAATCTGAGGCTTGAAATTGGGTTATAAAATCACCGCAAAAATGAATCCATTTTCAAAATAAAATTCAGAATTCACCGCATTATATTGTTGTCTTGATGATTAGATCCCACATCATTCTTGTCACCGAGATCCTATTTATGCACTTCAGTAGAGTCTAGAAAGAACCGTGACACAGTCTCCTTCGCAGCCGTTATCTGGTTCGTCACGCAATGGGGAGAAGTGTTGCGTGACGACTCAAAGGAGACCTCTTGCAAGAACACAACCAATCTCGTTCCCAGAGGCCGCGATCCTTTGGTCAGCACCAAGGGGTAGTTACTTGGTAGTTACTTCATGTATGGAGACATATATTGTACCCTGTCCCCATACATCAAGTACCTACCAAGGAATCGTCACCGCTGACCGAAACGCGCTGGCTCTGGGGACGGGATTGGAACACAACACAGTATGCACGCACCTCGAAAACGACAAAAAAGGAAGAAGAAAAAATGGCCATTTTCTTTCAACTAGTTCTTTAACTGACATGACGTTATCCCTTTATAGGGGGACAAGGGACGGGAACCCGGGAGAAAAGGGGGCGGGATGTTCTACGGAGGCGGGAAAAAAGAGGCGGGATACGGGATTCCCCCCACCCCACTCCCACTTGCAAAAATACCGTCAACACCTATTTGTCACGTGATTGCATTTCTGGGAAAGAATCGCTGCCGTTGTTTTGTATGTTGTATGCGTACAGGTTTAGTCTTTTTTGCTCCGATTTTTCAAGTTAGATTCTATTTTGTTTTTAAACCCATAGGAAAGATTTTTAAAACGATGGCGAAAGCTTCATCTTTAGCAGATAACTTGGCGAAGGAGTTAGAATGCGCTGTTTGCTTGGAGCAGTACAGTGAGCCAAAAGTTCTGCCATGTCTTCACTCCTTCTGTAAAACATGCCTGGTAGGACTGCTTAATAAACAAGCAGAGGTGTGGAGGATAAATTGCCCAGCTTGCCGGATTAGTGTTGAGGTTAGTTTGTTGAAATGTCCAAATCTTCGAAGTCAAATAAAGGTTTTACTTACTAAAATCTCCCATCTGTATGCCCTCCAACCCCCACCCCCCCCCCCGGTCCAAGGCCCCTTTGCTTTGGGGCTGAATCGTTTCTGAGGAAGTAAACCGATCGAAATTGTCGTCTTTCCATTAATCGTAGTAGACTTGATGTGAGCAGGTGTAAAATCATCATTTTATAAGTTTTACAAATTTATATATAAACTTGTTTGCGGGGAGTATCGGGAGGGAGGGGGGGAGGGGGTAACCTGTTATTATGCACTGTGAGAAAATAAATGGTGGTGCAAATGATTTTTATTCATTAATATCTGGAATATAAGTAAGCTAACATCAGTTTGTATTTTTTTGTATTGCACACAGATTCCTCAAGGTAAAGTTGATTCACTGCCAGCCAATTTCTTTCTGAACAATTTGCAATCCATGATTGCCCTTCATGGAGACTCAGACAGAAGTAATCTTGAGTGTGATAACTGTGACAGTGGTGACCCCCCTGTCAACAGATGTACCACATGCTGCCACTTCCTCTGTAACTTTTGTACTGCTGGGCATAAACGGGGACGCAACACAAAAACTCATCGTCTGCTATCACTTGAAGAAGCCAAAGAAGAGGGACCAATTGCTGTTGCGCGTCCAACCTTTTGCAAAGAACATGAAGGAGAGATGCTCAAGCTATTTTGCGAGACATGCGATGAAGCTATTTGTCGAGATTGCACAATTGTCAAGCATCGTGATCACAAATACACTTTTGTCAAGGATGCTTTTTCGAAGGGCAAGGAAAGTGTGTTGAAATTCTGTCGGAGACGAAGACAAAGGCATCCACACTCAAAGAGGCATTGGATGGTGTTTCAGAAATGAAAAGAAATGTTCAATCTCATGCAGAACAGACTGTGCAAGAAGTCATCAACTGTTTTCAAGAACTCACAACTCATCTAAATACTCGTCGTGAAGAGTTGATTCATGACATAGAAGTAATCAAGAAGTCTGAACTGAAGTCGTTGGAAATCCAGCAAGAGGAATTGGAAACAGCGCTAGGAAGTGTGAAAAGCAGTGTAGAATTCACAGAAAGGGCTTTGGAAAATGGTAGTGAAGTTGAGATTTTGAACATGCGCAAGCAAATGTCCTGCCGATTACAAGAACTGAATTCAGCTGAGTGGAAGCTGGAACCATGCGCCGACGATGCCATGAAGTTCAAAGCTGACAAGCAATTGAAACAAGAAGTTGCAACCTTTGGTGTCATTACTAATGCGGCGACGCATGCTGGTGCATCGACAGTAACCATGGGACATGGATCGGAAGGTGTGATGTACAATACACTGTGTGGGCAGTCTGTTGAATTCACCATAATTGCCAAGGAGCAGAATGGAAGGAAACGAGCAGACGGTGGAGATATTTTTGAAGTAGAAATCTGTACTGAAGCAGCTGAAATAGTATTCAATGATTCAAGTAAGGACTGTGGAAATGGAACATATAATTTCTGTTTTACTCCATACTGTAGAAATATGCAGTACAAGTTGTCGGTGAAACTGAATGGTTGTCATGTGAATGGAAGTCCTTTTACATGGTTTAATGAAATTTGGAAACTCTGCTCTGAAGTCCACAATGAACACGATAAGACAGAGCATTCTGGCTACATTCAGCTGACCACAGATTGGCATGACAGCAAAATATTACTGTTCTGAGAAAGTTGTGTGCAGCAACCGTATGGTTGCAGAGTGACAGTTTTCGGATCTGGTGGCAGAGCGACAGTGTTTGGATCTTCTTCTTTTCGTTTGGTAAGCATTTATGGAAAGTCAGAATATTAGGCATTGTCTCAGCAGAATTTGCTTTTGGTGTTGGTATAAGTCCACTAAAACGATGCCCTTGTGAATCACAGTGGACTTGGAAGTCTGGAAACATAAGCTTGCCTTCATCACGGAAGAGTATGAACAATGACATAATTGAATTTTACCTGGACTGTGATACCAAGACTTTGATGATGTACAATCAACGTACCAAAGAGTTCGTCACAAGGGAGGGACTCCAAGGAAAAGTGCGTCCTATGTTTGAAATGTACCGTGTTGGAGATGTGCTGTCCTTGCCTTGCCAGTTGATGTCTGGAGGAGATGAACCCAAGTGGAAAGAAGATGCCAAGGTTGATTATGAATTCATATGAAAAAGAAGAGGTGTAGTTGGTTAATCAGTACATTCAGAGCAAGTTCAGTTGTGTACTTTGTTCAAAGTAAGATGAAGATGTTGGTAGTTATGACTCTATGGTTGTGGAGGTGGTGTGGCCGAGTGGTTTAGGGCGCTGGATTTGAAATCTGGAGGTCCCTATCACTTCAAATCCTCTATCCTACCACTAGCTGGATTTGTTCTCAGTAGTCCCAAGTTCAACTCCTTGGTCCCGCTTCGGAAAATAGCCAACTGGACACTGTCAGCCTCCCACCAGTTGGGATTTTTAACAAGTTTATGTTCTATTTACAATATTTGTTTGTTGATTTACATTATCCACAATTAGCATAGTCTTGCTAAATCCTCTGATACGTAAGGTTACTGATAACCTTTTGGGGTCGAATTTTTGCAAAAACCTACCATAAGATAGCCCATTGTGCTAGTTTTCTTCTAAAACAAAATTATTTCAAATGTATTTTTTTTCCGGAGTTATTAATAGCAAATTTTGTGTTTCGCATGACTAAAACGTTATTCCCCAAAGGTGTTTTGAGATGTCAACGCTTTGTGATCTCCCGTGCAGTGTGACATGGGAATACATCTGGGAATGCTCAGATATATAAATAGCGTCTTCGTAGAGTTTGCATTATCTCAAGTCCATGCGAGAGGAAAATGCACTTAGTCTAGACTGGTCGGCTTTTATGCTATGAAACGAGGAGGGAAACTTGAAAATCACCTTGGGTAAAAAGTAAGAGAAAGTCCGAGCCTAAGAAAGGCAAGACGAGTCGCTCGATGAATTCCAACAAGAGTTTCCACTCCACTTGTACTTTCCTTTCCGGTTGGATTGTTTTTCCTTCTTTGCCTCTTACTTGCTGAAGATTTGCGCCACCCGACTTCGCTTTTCCCATTATAAATAAATGCAGATATAACTTCGCTGAGCGAGCGCCGAATACCTTTTCCCGGGAATTCAAGATTGTTTTGTCACAAGCCTCTTTAGGGGCCAGATTTTAATTTTCATTGGTCGGCGGCATGACCGCATTCACACCCGCGCTGAGGAAGTGTGAAAAATAATAAATATTTTCGGCCCGAAAACTCAGGGTTTATTTTTGAGCGGGTAGCCACTCTTCAAATGAATTAATAGGGTATGTAGATTTGTCAGATTTTTACGAAATTTGGCCAAAATGATCATCAGATATCGGTGCGAAAAAGTGTGTTGGGCTTTAAAGGAATTCAAAATATTTTTACTTTTACGCCTCTCTGCGTGACGCAAAACGAAAAAATTTCTATGGTCAACTTCAAAGTTGTTTTTCTAAAAAACCAATAGGAAAATTAATAAATCCCGACACACTTCCGTAGCCCATCAAGCGCTGATTGATATAATGCAGTTGGTTTGGTTGTACGCGCTAATGCGAAGGCGGGTATTTCAGCGAAGCAAACATTGACAGTTTTCAGTTTGAAGGCTCGCGCGCACTTACCAAAGCGATATAATTTTAAAATGGCAATATATTTGGATTCTACATTCTATTACCTTTACAATGATATGGTTTCATCGAAATAATGCGCGTACGAAAGATTTTCCGGAAAGCACCCCAAGAGGTTGTCAGTAACCTTAAATAAAGTTATTTATTTTTGTTTAGTGTGTCAGAAGGTGTAGCAAAGGGTAGAATCCTCTAAAAACTAAGTCAAATCTTGAATTTGCACTAGCCACCAACTGACTACTAAGTCCTTAACATTTACTAGCTTTTAATTTTAAGATGTCCATGTGGTTTTTAATAACAATAATAATTATTATTATTGTTAGACCTAGAGCTGCAACTCAATGCCTTTCTTTGAACCAAAACTTGAGAGGTTGAAATGTTGCATAATTGTATGCTTTCCGACTCGTAAGTGACCACCTTGAGGATTTGGAAAAGTGGTCATAACTAGAGGCTGAGCTGTCCAGATTGTGTATGAGTCAGAATAAATTCTCAGAAGCAACCATCCACTGAAAAGGTAGAAGTTGGTCATCTGTGGCCGCGCTCACATACGGGAGCTTTTAATTAGAGAGTTTTAAATGTATGTGAATTTAAACAGGTTTTGTGAGGGTGGTCACTCAGGAGGGGTGGTCACTCAGGAGAGCTGGTCGCTTATAAGAGTGGTCGCAAGAAGAGCTTCAAGTGTAATTGGTGCAAACATCTTGCTTGAATTGTTTGTTTCTGCCCAGAGGGCAATGTGATTGTTACCAATGCTGAACTTCACATGTCCCAAATATTTCAGCCTAGGTTACAGTACATGTAGTTGCACTGTAGCTGCTGTTTTAAAGGAGCTATGTCACGATCTTTAAAGTCATTTTTGCGAAGTGCAAAATCACCTTCAAATTGAAGGAAGCCGCAAAATAATAGTTCACTAAGGTAGAAAAACACCAAAGAGGTGATAATAAACCAAACAGGAACAAGGATGGTTGAGGATGGAGAAGATTGAGACGGATTGCGAATGGTGAACTTGAAAAAATGGCCAATTTTTTCAAGATGCGCCAACCGTGATGTAGCTCCTTTAAGTTGTAAGGCAATCTCATGTTGGACCCTCAGTGGTGCATCCAGGTAAGGAGACCATATCACCCCCCCCCCCCCCCCCCCCCCTTTTTGAGCACCTCTTTATTGGGCCCTTGTAAAACTGGCTTCTTCTTGATGTTTTGTGAGCAGATACAATCACAATGCCACTGTCAGTGGAAATTGATCACCCATTGGGCTCATCGAGTGCATGTTTGGATAATTATTTTTAATCAAAATGTAACAATGAACAATAAGCATAAGCATTTTAGGCTAATGTTGTGTAGCATGCAATCTGTAGGTTTATACGGCACTGCAAGTTAAAAAACGTGCATACATATTACTACCATGATGCAATTTATGGCAACATGTTGAACGAAGTTGAGTTCTTGTCTACTTTGCACGACATGTTGCTGTAAATGGTATTATGCAACAAAAGCAATGAAACACTGTTGTGTAATAAGTTGCAAGAAAATGTTGCCCTTATTTCTTGGCCTTTGAAGATTATAAAAACTAATGTAAATATGATTTACAGTGAAGATGACGCTACTGTTGCCACTCGACAAAGTTTTTGATTAATTTTTGACATCTTTTTGACAACTTTGCTTCACTGTAACTGTTATCAGTAGCAAGTTGATGTATCAACTTTTGGAAAGTATTGCTTTTGGTAATAAAATAATGACAACAATAATATTGTAAGTTTTATACTAAGTAAGTTTTATAGATGTAATTTTAATTTGTAGTTTTGTTATGCGCAGGTGAGCATTTAGGTATGGAACCTGCGCATTACAAATATTACAAAACAATAAAACCAGCGTGTATATTTCCTGTAAAATGAGGTTGAGGAAAAAATGTTACACAATGACCAGCTATGGTAGTAGGCTTGCCCCAGTTTCATCTTTTTAACTTTGGAACACAAATTTCCCTTCAGCCACTGACAAAAATGATGAAAGGTTTTCAGAAAACCTTGTGTAGGCCAGGACACTATATTTTTGTACGGTCCATTTACAGTCAACTCTCGCCTTATGGACGTTATTACGGACACCCGCTATTACGGACAAAAATCCACTCCTCCACCCCGGCCTGGCCCTTCATTATCCTTGAGTGTCATAATGCTTTCACAACAACAGTTATTCAAATTCCTGAGCATTACATTTTTACAAATTTAATCATGGTAAAATTTGGTATAGCTGCGCATTTTTGTTGAAATCGAGGCTGTCAGTTTTCTTCCCGCTCTCTCCAGATGTCCATCTTCCAACATGTAGGCAGGTTTGTACTTATTGCTGCCGTCTTCGTATTTTAAGGCAGGGTTAGGTGTAGTGTTATGGGTGCTGCCCAGTGATGTGTACCCCTCGTCATATAGACAACAGTATGGAATGTCGCACTCTCTGATCATAGACCAGGACATCGGCATGGTGCCAATCCAAAATTGGATTTACTCTCATATAGTGTGGCCAGTCTGCGTCAGTCGGAGAAAATGTGCGCAGAGCATCGGAAAAAGGATCGTGCCTTCTAGTACCCAACAAAATCGCTTTGATTGCAGGCCGAGGTTTCTTTAAGTGTTTTCAGAGCTGTCTTTATACCTCCAGTCATAGTTATGAGATTCAAATTATACCTTTGAGTTGTTTCTGAGATAAAGTCTTCTGCTTGCGGAAATGGTGAGTTGTAGCAGACGTACAAAGCCTTCAGTTGTTGAGGTGGGGGTGATAGTTTATTCAGTGCAGCATGTAAAATGTGTAGTAGTACAGTACAGTCTTTGCCTCCGTTGAAACTGATGCACAGTTTCATCCAAGGAATACAGCTGCAGAGTTTGCTGTATGATGGCCCAAGCTCCTTTAAGCAGGCACTAGTGTTGGACTCGTCCCGAGGATCCAGCAGACTGTAGACTTTCTCCACACTCACGACCGGTTTACAATCCAGTTCATTTGCTGGTTGACTGGGTGGACCTATGATAAATACAGTTTGTATTTATCGGAAATGCCACTTAATTTTTGTTCATGTATTACCATATTATATAGGTTCATTATTATACCAAGTTATATACGAGTTTGTATCAGGAAGAATTAACTGCCCTGAAAACTATCATTTCTCTTTATGTCACATACAGTCAATTTATGTCACCTGAAATCTGACCTCCACCACATACATATCACACATATTTTTGGGTACGAAATTGACAATATGTCACTTAGTACTTTTGGGTCACAGTAGCCTGCAGTACAGGCATATTTTGGGTGAGCGAGCGAGCACTGAAATATTCCATCCAGTGTTAAGCTGCCATCTTGCCCTCTGCCCTCTGGAGGGGGGGGGGGGGGGGGGACTCCCATATAAAAGTGACGGGGTGCTTGTCTCACTTACAATGTAGGTTGTTCAGGACGAAACGCTGATATTTTTAGCTTGCCCACCAAGGTATCGTTTAGGGTTGCAAATGAAGAAATAATAAAAAAACACCGTCATAATGTGGTGGTGGCCTCATTATCGGAGATGATTGCAACTTAATTAAAGTCACTATAACTCTTGTTTTCTGTCTTTTTTAGAATGGTATCTTTTAGGAGTCAAATAAAGCTTGAGCCTCGCCCAGATTGGTCTCCTTTAGTTTTGAATTGAACCTTTAGGGTTTAATTCAAAATTTCCGACAAGCATCCCCGTCCCTTTCATAAGGGAGTCCTATGGAGGCCCGTTCTGGTCAAAATAACATATTTAATTTTTACTTGT